TATAGGAAGAAAAGACAAGAACATTCCCAGATAAGCAAAACTGTCAAGAATTTACCAACTCCAGAGCAGATCTCCAAGAGATTCTGAAAGGAGTGCTATACTAGGAAAATTAAATAGAGTCACACAGAAATAAGAGTTCAAAAACAACTAAGAAAATGGTCAACTTAATGGGAGGGACAAGCCTGGAGTTGAATGTTATCTTCCAGAATTTAAACCGGAAGATTGGGCCACAAAAGAAGATAAAGTACACGAGACTGAACTGATGAAATACAATCTTACGACTTTTGACTAAAACATTACTGACTTTCTTCTAGGCTTTGTTTTCCAGATATAAGGATATTTGTCTTGTCTTGAGCACCGATAGGTTCACGTACCTACTATTTGAACAGAGTCCTAACCTGTCTCCTGGTTTTAAGTAAGAAAATGAACGACTATAAGAGAAATGGGGCCAGGAAAGTTTCTCTAAAGATGCTTTCATCCTGTGGAAGGAAACACTTGGAATAAAGACTAAATATCTCATGCAATAAATAAAGAAAGAAATAAAATAAGCAAAGTAAATGAATATTATTTGACACCCAAAAACCTCGGCCAGATGGCAACCATTAGTCTCTTTTTTGGCCTCCTGGGCCTGAACTCCTTTCCTAGGTGGTCCAGCTCTCACGGTGTTCCTTAACAACGTTCCAGGACATTCCATGCGTGTCCACCAGAGTTGGATTCTGCTTTCTTCTCATGAGCCCTGATCGTGCTGCCCAGCAGAGATCAGGCGGGGGGAGGCGAGCAGGACGCATGCCGAGGAACACCACCAGCATCGGCTGAGTGCTCGCGGCAGGCCACGCCAGGTTATTCCTTCAGTGAATCTTCACATTCGCCCCAAACTTAGTGGCTTAAGATGACATTGAGGGGGGACCAGCAGATGGCGTAATGGTTATGTTGCTGGACTCCCATGTAGTTGACCGCTGTTTGAGTCCCGGACCTGGTGACTTAGTGCCCAAGGTCCCGAGAGGAGAATGGAGGAAAAGGGGCTGCAGTGTGGCCATCCCCCCGGGGGGTGTTTTCTCACTTTCTGTCCCTCTGTCCCTATCTTTCTGGCAAGCACATGCGCCCTATAGCAAAAAAACAAATAACAAAAACAAAAACAAACAAAAAAAACCCAAAAAAACAAAAACAAAAACAAACCTCTCCAAATAAATAAATAAATAAATAAATAAATAAAAGGCTTTAAAAAAATAAAAAATAATCTCAAGTTCATCGAAACGTTGCAAGAATAGTGCAACTAACTCTCGTATCTTCCCCCTTTATTTATCTATTTTTTAGATTTTTGCTATAGGGTATGTGTGCTCGTCAGAGAGACAGACATACAGTGAGAAATCACTCCCCTACAGGGAATGGCCACACCACAGTCCCTTGTCCTCTCAGGATTTGGGGCACGTACGCATACACACCTGGTGTGACTTTCAAGTCCCTGGGTCTGGGACTCAAACCGCAGCCCACCATGTGGGAGTCCAGCACCTCAGCACTACAGCACCTGCTGGCTCTCCTTTACTTAGACCCCTCAGTTGGCAACCTCATGGGCCATTCTTCCTCTGTGTGTGCGATTTTTCTGGCCCATCCGAGAGCCAGTTACAGACACAGTGCAAAGACCTCAGTGCATCTCTGAGAACGGGGACGTTCTCTTACTCAGTCACCAAATAGTTTTCTACCTCAGGAAATGTTAACATAGATACAATGTTGTAATTTCCTTTCTATGCCCATATTCGAATCTGCTAGGTATATTATAAATCACTTGGAAACTTTATTCTCTTTTTTTTTTTTAGAGAGATTTTTGCTATAGGGCACGTGTGCTCGCCAGAGAAACAGAGAGTGAGAGAGACAGAAAGCAAGAAATCACCACCCAGGGGGATGGCCACACCACAATCTATTCTCCTCTCGGGATTCTGGGCACACACACACACACACCCAGCGTACGTTTTAAGTCACTGGGTCCAGGACTTGAGCCATGGTCGGCTATGTGGGAGCCCAGTGACATAACCATTACACCACCTGCTGGTCCCGGAAACCTTATTCCTAAGCTATGGAATCCCAGCATCACTGTCCCCTGTCTAGAAAGACAGCACACATCTGCCCAAAGAGAAGGAAATCCATAACATCCACAAATCTGCTTTAGGCTCTGCTCAGACACCCGCTCAGTCTGCACAGCCCTGGTTCTCCACGGAGCATGGTTTGGACTCTCAGAGGACACGGGACAGTGTCTGGAGACATCTGTGGTTGTCACAACTGGGAGCGGTGATGGGCTCCTGGCATCTGGTGGGTCCAGGCCAGGGGTGCAGCTTAGCATCCTGCAATGCACAGGGCGGTTCCCGCAGCAGAGCACTGCTCAGCGCAGGGAGTCCACGGGGTCGTGAATCAGAATACCGATCTGTAAACTGCAAGAGACGCCTCCTCCTGTCGCAAACGAAGCGTGGGTGCTTCCCTCTCACCGTGGCAATAACATTTCTCCCCAGTGACCTGGAGGAGCCCACTCCTGCAGGCACAGGCTGATCCAGCCAAGTTGAGCAGCTCAGAACTGGAACCAGCCTATGGGCCATTTGGCAGAGACCATACAATGTAAATAAAGCTGGCCGGAGGTCACGCTGGGCTCAGGCCGCTCCCCAGGTCCGGGCCGTGCTCCTCTGTGGAAGGGCTGGGGAGGCAGGCCTGGAACGGGGCCAGGACTCAGCAGTCAAGCTGCTGCTTCCTGACTAAGGAGCGTAACTGCCCCGACTGCCACCCGCTGGCATGCAGGGATCACACTGTACCCATAGGCCTCAGGAGGAGGCGGCCCAGAATGTCTCCCCATTCCGATCAAAGGCGGGGCTGTGCTGAGTCACCTCAGGTTCCTGGGCGCCCCATTCAGAGTCTGACTCATCATAAAAGCAGCTGCCATTTGGCAAAATACACGACAGATACAATTGACCATCGTAACCATTTCTGTGGTGTCAAACGCATTCATAAGTCTGGTCTTGGGACTCTTCCCATTCTGAAGAACGGAAGCTCTGTCCACATTCACCTCTAACTCCCCATGTCCCATTCCCTGCGGTCCACCACTGTTCTACTTTCTGTCGCTATAACCTTTGTTCTTAAATTTAATTTAGGTTTTTGCTATAGGGTGTGTGTCCTTGCCAGAGAGAGAGAGAGCGAGAGGGAGGGAAAGTGGGAAATCACCCCCTGGGGGTGGCCATGTTGCAATCTCTTCTCCTCCAATCTCCTCTTGGGATTTTGGACACACACATGCACCTAGATTGATTTTCAAGCTGCCACGTCGGGGACTCAAACCACAGCACGGGCCATGTGGGATCCAGTGCCTTAACCTCCGCTCTACCTGCTGGCCCTAATCTTGGCTACTGTGGGATCTCATAGAAATGGAATCCTATGGTATTTGTCATTTAGTGACTGGCTTTTTTCACTTAGCAGAGTATCCTTAAATTTCATCCAAATTTTAGCATGTGTTAGAGTTTCCTTTAAATGTTTTAAAAATCTTTATTGACAAAGGGTGGTTGTGATCAAAGAGGAGAGAGAAAAAGAGAGCAAGCACCCTCTGATTGGGCGAGGTCACACTGCAATCCCTTCTCTTCCATTTTTCACACTGTTTTTCCTTTTTTTTTTTCTGGAGGTGTGCACTTGCTGAAGAAACAGAGAGACAGAAAGTGAGAAATCACCCCCCAGGAGCGATGGCCATTCCGCAATCCCTTCTCCTCCATTCTCCTCTCGGGATCTTGGGCACGCATGCACACGCGCCTGGCGTGAGTTTCAAGCCACAGGATCTGGCACTCGAACCACCGTCAACGATGTGGTCCAGCGATGTAACCATTATGCTCTCCAGCGATGTAACTGCTATGCTATCTGCTGGTCCCCCCCCCTTTTTTTTCCCCATAGGGTGCATGCCCTTACTGGAGAGAGACGATGACAGGAAGAGTGAGAAATCACACCACAGGGGGGTGGCCATGCCGACGTTTTTCGCCTTCATTCTCTTCTTGGGATCTTGGGCATGCGTGCACATGTACCGGGTGTGATTTTCAAGCTGCCAGTTCTGGGACTCAAATCGAAGCCGGCCGTGTGGGAGTCCAGTGCCTTAGCCACCTCAGCACGGGCTGCCCCCGCTTCCTTTCTCCCTGACAGTAGCCATCCTGATGTGAGACGGTACCTCACTGCGGCTTTGATTCTCACCTCCCTGCTGATGAGTGATGCGGAGCATCTTCTCATGTGCTTATTGGCCATTTACAGATTTCCTTTGAAGAAATGTCGACTTAACCCCTTGGCCCATATAAAAATTCTGCTTTACTGAAGGTGCATGTGCTCGCCAGAGAGAGGCAAAAAGACAGAGAAAGGGACAGGGGGAGGAAGTGCCCCTCGAGGGGCATGGTCAGGCCACAATCCTGTTTTCCATCTCTCCCTCCTTTTGGGATTTTGGGTATGCACATACGCCTGGTGTATTTTTTAACCTGTTGTGTCCAGGACTCATATTTGGCCATGTGGGATCCAGCCACTGTCACCACCATGCCACGGGCTGGCCCACCACCAGCCACGGGCTGGCCCACCAGGGTGTTTCATCCGGTGAATGACAGATGACTAACAGGAGCAACGCGGTCAGGCCCACACATCCATGCACGGACTCCTCCAGCCGGGGAGGTGCCTTGTTGAGGAATATAGCCAGAGGAGTTGGTCCTAAACCTTACCCTGGCTTGCTGTGTGCCCCTGGATAACCACACACCCTCTCTGAGTCCCACATTCCTTCCTTGCAAGTCAGGCTTCACGAGTTAGTGAGATCAATGGGTAGTTAAAGTGCTGGACCCCCACCTGGCTGACTGCAGTTCGAGTCCTGGGCCTGGTAGTTTGGCTTCTTACTTTCCCTTCCTCTCTCTCTCTCAGGTCAAATTAAAAAATAATAATACTAGAATAAGTAAATATATTAATTAACTAAAAGAAAAAAAAAAAAAGAAATCCATTCCTAGAGAAATTCTCACCTCCTAGCCTGGGAGTAGAGGTGAAGATGCGGCTGCCTGGGGAAGGATGATTAAGCAATGGCCCATTTGTGCTCTGGAGCGGGTCAGTCGGCCGTGGTCCTCGGAGTTCTCTGGTGACATCTGCTGGCACGAAAGGGCTACTGCAGTCCAGCTCCGCCAGGGAATTGCCCGATATAGGTCGGGGTGATTGGGGGGGCACCTGGGAAGCCACAGAGCAGGGCGAGACCTGGGAGGAGGGTCAAGAGTAGGGGGTGGCCTGGGTATAGGTGGAAAGCACGGGCCCGTGTTCGGATTCCAGCCTCAGTGCTTCCTTGCTGAGTGAAGGCGGGCATATTTGGACTTCCCCAGAGCCTCTGTTTCTTCTTACAATGAGGATTCCAGAGCTCGGCTCAGCAGACACCCAGCAAGAGTAACCAGAGCCACTCTGAGCACCTCGGGTGGCAGGGATTAGCTGAGAACATCCAGCCGCGAAGGCGAGGCAGCGTGTCCCCTGGAGGGTTCTGTCTAGCAGGGAGAGGACAACAGACCAACCGCCAGCCCATGCACGGTGGCTTCAGGTGTGGACAGCGCAGACAGGGGGGAGGGGGGGCAGGAGGGGGGCAGCGCAGCGGCTCTCGGGCAGAGGCCTCTGAGGAGGCTCCTCCAGTATATTCAAGGTGCACAGGGATCCTCGCCAATGGTGGGTCACAGTCATGTCACACACGCGAGTGACAGGGATGAAAGGAGAAGGAGGAAGCCATTTTCCTGCCCTATTTTTTTTTTAAAGTTTATTTATTTATTTCCTCCATGAGTGAGAAAGAGAGAGTTGGAGAGAGAGAGAGAAAGCCGCTGGGTCCAGGTCTTGAACAGTGTAGTCAGCCATGTAAAATCCAGCTGCCTCGACCACCGCCAACAGGGTCCAGATGCCTGGACCAGCCCCAGCCCCAGCCAGCTCTGCACCATGGGCATACGTGTTCCCAGCAGGTTCAGGGGTCTCCTGGACCCTCGCAGAGTGACTACAGTGCTGCCCCACTGTCGGGCCTGATTTTGAAAAACTGGAGACAGAGTCTTGCCTGTGGCCCAGGCTGACTCGGCTTCTGGGTGCACGCCATGGACTGGAAGCCATCTTCCAGGGTTGGATGCAGGCCTGGCGGTGAGAAGATGGTCTGGCGCCTGCAGTGAGGCAGCCCTGGCCCTCCCCTGTGCACAGGGCCTGGGGGCAGAGTTCAAGCCCGCACCTGAGCAGACCAGGCTCCAGGAATGAAGGCAGGCAGAGGATGACAGGCTGGGAGGTCTCACTGTGCGCGGACAGGGGCTGTTGAGAGCGACCAGGACAGGAACCCAGTTCCGCCCCGGTTGGAGGCCGCCCCATGGACACTGCCAATGTGACTGCCTTTCACTGTCATTAACCAGGCCTGTGTGACAACAGCCAGGCCCTGGCCTGGTGTCTCGTGCCCCTGCCCTGATTTACACAGAAACAAGCCCCCCTGAGCCTCTGTGGCTGGCCCATGTGGTACTGCAGGTAAGGCCCCCAAGGAGCAAGGAGCCATGGAGCTTCCAGAGCTGAGGAAAGACTGAAGCCAGGCGGGCTGCGATGGAGGCTGCGTGCCTTCTCCTTGGGGCGCAGGCTGTGGGGGGCGGTGCGACACGACACCCGGGTCCC